AGATAAAGTTGTGTGTTGGGTTAGGTTTAACACTTTGATCGAGATAAAGTTGTGTGTTGGGGAGGTTTAACACTTTGATCGAGATAAAGTTGTGTGTTGGGGAGGTTTAACACTTTGAGCGAGATAAAGTTGTGTGTCTGTTCTGTGGAGGTTTAACACTTTGATCGAGATAAAGTTGCGTGCCTGTGTTGGGGAGGTTTAACACTTTGTTCGAGATAAAGTTGTGTGTTGGGGAGGTTTAACACTTTGATCGAGATAAAGTTGGATGTCTGTTATGGGGAGGTTTAACACTTTGATCGAGATAAAGTTGGATGTCTGTTCTGGGGAGGTTTAACACTTTGATCGAGATAAAGTTGTGTGTTTGTGAGGTTTAACACTTTGATCGAGATAAAGTTGTGTGTTGGGGAGGTTTAACACTTTGATCGAGATAAAGTTGTGTGTTGGGGAGGTTTAACACTTTGATCGAGATAAAGTTGGATGTCTGTTCTGGGGAGGTTTAACACTTTGATCGAGATAAAGTTGTGTGTTGGGGAGGTTTAACACTTTGATCGAGATAAAGTTGTGTGTTGGGGGAGGTTTAACACTTTGATTGAGATAAAGTTGTGTTGGCGGAGGTTTAACACTTTGATCGAGATAAAGTTGTGTGTTGTGGGAGGTTTAACACTTTGATCGAGATAAAGTTGTGTGTTGGGGAGGTTTAACACTTTGATCGAGATAAAGTTGTCTGTTGGCGGAGGTTTAACACTTTGATCGAGATAAAGTTGTGTGTCTGTTCTTGGGAGGTTTAACACTTTGATCGAGATAAATTTGTGTATTGGGGGAGGTTTAACACTTTGATCGAGATAAAGTTGTGTGTTGGGGAGGTTTAACACTTTGTATTGTAGGTTGTGTTTTTTTTTACTCTTTCCTTTTAGGCCTGTATAAATTCCCCTGTGTAAAACACAACGACTTACCAAGTTCCAAGTTCAGATAATTTTAAAGTTTATTTACTCTATACACAAAGTTAACTTTCTCCCAATCCTAGCTCGATTGTCATCTTTTCGGCTTTATCCCACTCCACAACTCTATCCTGCTAACTTTTACACTATCTCCTGCTCTAATGACTGCCAACACTCTACTGACTGCCAACACTCTAATGACTGCCAACACTCTAATGACTGCCAACACTCTAATGACTGCCAACACTCTAATGACTGCTAACACTCTAATGACTGCTAACACTCTAATGACTGCTAACACTCTAATGACTGCTAACACTCTAATGACTGCTAACACTATACTGACTGCCAACAAATGACTACTGCTACCACTCAACACAATGTTAACAATTGACTGACGTCTAAAAGTTGTTGATAAAATAAAATTAAAAACTAAATGTCAACTTGGCCGATAAGTTATTTTATCTCAAAGTTTTGTTAAGGAAATCACAAATAATATTTTCTACATCAAAATGTTCGTGATGATGCCGATTGTTCTGTCGCCCCCTGGAAGCGACACGTCTATTTTAGCCAGATAGAAATTATTGAGTCTACCGCCAAATGCATTCCACACACGACCTCCCAAGCAATCCCTTCAGTTGATAGAATGTTGAAGTAGTATGCTTATCAATTCCAGAAACTAATTATGCACATAAATTAAAATTTCATATTTATTTTATACGGCTACACAACCAATTCAACCATGCAGGAAATTTTCTGTCGGAATAGCCCTACAAAAATATAAAACAAAACCCAAAATGTTGAAATCTGAAATATTTTTTTCCTTACCATTTTCTTGTAACTCTTCTTGGCTTGTCGGTATTTATGTTTATCATCGGTTGTTTCCCTTAGATATACTGATTTGATTGTTTCCTTTGATACATACTTTGTATAAAACATATAAAACACTATTCCTGTATACACACAGGCACTTTGCAAATAACTTTTACCTGAAATGCCAGGACAGGGCCTGGCCGGTACGGCTAATACATAATATAACAGTAAACAATATTTTATTGATGTGCAGAAGTTTTGCTCCTTCATTCTGGCACTCATTTATATCTAATATATAAAGCTCAATTCTGTAACGCATATGTTTGTCGTTGGCATTTCTACGGATTTAAGTGTTAGATCAATTATCGTGCGCGTTTGTCTAAATTTATGAGTTAAAAAATTACTATTAAAAGTATTGGGAAATCATTTTCATTTTTCAAATTATAGTAATAATTGCCGGCATGTTCATTAAACACAAGTTTTAAAAAAAATATCATCTTTTACAAAAATTCTAATTATGTTTTTATTTAGTCCTATAGCGCTTACTTCCCTTTGATAAATTAGGCAAAACACAATTACTTCCCTTTATGAAACCCATTGCATTAGTTGAAAAGCATTTACTTTTTAATTACTTTGTTTTGGTGTTGGGAAAAAAATAATTACATAATTAGCGGGGATTGATCAAGTGCAAATGTTTTAGGTATTTTACGGATAAGCTTGGAGTATTATAATTGTTCATTAAATTGAAACAGGCGCGTTCGTTTAAGTGAGTGCAAAAGACTATGAATAAGTTGGGGTACTATAGTCGTTTATTAAGCTAAAACAGGCGATTCTGCCCCGGGCGTTTATGTTCGCGTTAGTGTTTTCTTTGTGTTTAGGTGGGTTTGCGTTAGTGGTTGCGTTTTGATTTGGTTCGTTTTTGTTCTTTCTTTTTTCGTTTTTGTTTGTGTTTTTTTTTGTTTGGGTTTGTATTTGTGTTTTTGGTTGGTTTTGCGTTTGGATTTGGTTTGTTTTCGTTCTTTCTTTTTTCGTTTTTGTTTGTGTTTTTTTGTTTGGGTTTGTATTTGTGTTTTTGGTTGGTTTTGCGTTTGGATTTGGTTTGTTTTCGTTTGCTTTTTCGTTTTTTTTTTTTTGTTGGTATTGGTGTTTGTGGTTGGGTTTGTTGTTAGGTTTTTGTTTTCGTTTGCTTTTTTGTTTGTTTTTTCTTTGTGTTTGTATTGGTGTTTGTGGTTGTGGTTGGGTTTGTTGTTAGGTTTTTGTTTTCGTTTGTATTTGTAATTGTGTTAGCGTTATGTTTGCGTTTTGTTGTTTTGGTTGGTTGTGGTTTGGGTGGGCAATGCCGGGTTTATGATGATTACTAAACACACAGGTAATGGTCGTTAACAGAAAGGTTTTTCACAGAAGCCAGAGCAGGGCCTGGCCGGGACGGCTAGTCTAATATATAAAGCTCAGTTCTGTATGTAATGCATATGTTTGTCGTTGGAATTGTATGAATTTAAGTGTTAGAAAATTATCGTGCGCATTTGTCTAAATTTATGAGCTAAAAAATTACTATTGAAAGTGTTGGGAAATAATTTTCATTTTTCAAATTATAGTAATAATTGTCGGCATGTTCATTAAACACAAGTTTTAAAAAAATATCATCTTTTACAAAAATTCTAATTATGTCTTTATTTAGTCCTATAGCACTTACTTCCCTTTGATAAATTAGGAAAACAAAATTACTTCCCTTTATAAAACCATTGCATTAGTCGAAAATAATTTACTTTTTAATTACTTTGTTTTGGTGTTGGGAAAAAAAAAATAATTACATAATTAGCGGGGATTGATCAAGTGCAAATGTTGTAGGTATTTTACGGATAAGCTTGGAGTATTAAAATTGTTCATCAAATTGAAACAGGCGCGTTCGTTTAAGTGAGTGCAAAAGACTATGAATAAGTTGGGGTACTATAGTCGTTCATTAAGCTAAAACAGGTGATTCCGCCCCGGGCGTTTATGTTCGCGTTAGTGTTTTCTTTGTGTTTAGGTGGGTTTGCGTTAGTGGTTGCGTTTTGATTTGGTTCGTTTTTGTTCTTTCTTTTTTCGTTTTTGTTTGTGTTTTTTTGTTTGGGTTTGTATTTGTGTTTTTGGTTGGTTTTGCGTTTGGATTTGGTTTGTTTTCATTTGCTTTTTCGTTGTTTTTTTTTTTTTTGTTGGTATTGGTGTTTGTGGTTGGGTTTGTTGTTAGGTTTTTGTTTTCGTTTGTATTTGTAATTGTGTTAGCGTTATGTTTGCGTTTTGTTGTTTTGGTTGGTTGTGGTTTGGGTGGGCAATGCCGGGTTTATGATGATTACTAAACACACAGGTAATGGTCTTTAACAGAAAGGTTTTTCACAGAAGCCAGAGCAGGGCCTGGCCGGGACGGCTAGTATATATATATATATATATATATATATATATATATATATATATATATATATATATATATATATATATATATATATATATATATATAATCTTGTTACGTTCTTGGTCGTTCTGATCTAGACGTGGGTTCTAATCAAGATGAAGAACAATCAGGAATAATCACAATTAGCAATTATTTCTTACACTCGAAACCTGGGTAAAATTACACATCTGACATCAAACCTCAAATGCCACGATAAAGTCACAAGACATAACATAAAGCCACCACAACATCTAAAGCAATGAATAAAATACTTTTAGATCTATGACGGAAATAAAAAGTCCTTAATGTCATTACAACTGCTTGTTCCTAACTCAATGATCCATTCAAGTCTAAGTCTACAGACATCCCGTGGATGCCACTGTATATGTCCCTGTTTGGTCACCTAACCCTAAACTCTCCATCCCCGGTCTCAATACCCCTGTTAAATCTGCGGACTCACAAAGGTCAAGGGGCAGGGGTAATTATACACCGCCACAAGTGGCAAATCTAATTAGACCAGACCCCAGGTTTCATATATATATATATATATATATATATATATATATATATATATATATACATATATATATATATAAGAATGTGTGTGTGTGTGTTTGTGTGTGTGTAAATGTATATGTTTATATGTATGTATATATTTTTGAAATTCTTGAAAATATCAGAATCTTTTTATGCATTTAATATAAAAATGAAATCTGCTGAAATGAATATAGTGAAAAATATTTAAATCAAATACAACATAGTCACAATCACTATCTCTCTCTCTCTCCCTCTCTCTATCTCCCCCACAGTTATTAATACAATCAATTATTGTTTTTAGTTATGTCTTGAAGGTGGACGTCAGCGGGTGATTTGACGTCTGTAGATGGGGTGTTTTGTTGGTGGCCGCTGTGGGCGTTCTGCCCGTTATGGGCGTCAGACCCGATTTGCCCACTAGGGGCGCCGAAGCTGTTTTGTCCATTAGGGGCGCCGTAACCGATTTGCCCATTAGGGGCTCCATACCCGTTTTGCCCATTAGGGGCGCCGTAGCTGTTTTGCCCATCAGGGGCGCCGTAGCCGATTTGTCCATTAGGGGCGCCGTAGCCGTTTTGCCCATACTGTGGGGCGCCGTAGCCGTTTTGCCCATACTGTGGGGCGCCGTAGCCGTTTTGCCCATACTGTGGGGCGCCATATGCTGGTCCCATGTTCATAGGGGTGGGATATGCCTGAGAATTTTGTTGTTGCTGTGTATTTTGACTGACAGAAACATTTATCTGGGGTCCTGACTGGACGATAACCCCAGGTGTTGAGATCGTCTAAAATAAATTAAAAATGTCATTTACATATTTGGAATAAAAATAAATGTGATCTTTTATTATAATGTAGGCTACAAGTATAATATTTTCAGTGTATTTTTTGGATCAAAATATAAATGTAATCTTCTAAAATAAATAATATTTAAGGAAAAGTTTATAAACATGCTATTTTATGTTAAAATATAATCGTGAAATTGTAGATAAAAAACATATGAACACACAAAAGTACAAGTAAATCTAGTCTCAATGCTTATCTATCTATATACTACTAAAAGTCAAGTTTGTTTACATGTTTGAATATTTATTTGTTTGTTTGCCTGATTGACTATTGTGATATGTTCCACTCTATCTGGAAAGCTGTAAAATAGTATGCAGGTAGAGAATAATTTTTTAATGCAGACAAACTGTTGATCACAAATTTATTTAAAGACGTTAATTAATTTATTGATTTATTCATAGTTAAATTAACCGTATTTTTTTAAAAATGTTAATACTTTGAATAAACTTTGTGGGGATAGTGACGTCCCTTGATAGTGACGTCAGAGTTTTTTGTTGACTCTTTAGTACAATAAAATGGCGGCGCGTCTATCGAAGAAAATTGTGTTCCCATTCCAAAGTTTAACGCGTTCTAAATCTAATTTTCTGTCGGTCATAACTTTAACAATACGTCCGTTTGCTGTATTTATTACGTTCCAACACTTATATCAATTTTCAACTGTCTTTTTCATTTAGTTTTACGATAAATTTCTCTAGATCTAAAGATCAGCTGTCGAGAATCTAGCCTAGGGCCTAGAATCTAGATCTAGGTCACTAGAGTCATAGATCTAGACTTAATGTAAATTCTACATCTAGAATCTATTTCGGGCCTTAATTATTTTATATAAATCTTTGTTTAGCTTCAATGATCATCTAATTCGAGAATACATGGGATTTTTTTGTTATCTAGGTTTTATATCTAGATATAGTAGGATTACTCACTAACTTGGAGGCGTGGTCGGCTGCTAACAACAATATGGCGTACGGACCGGACGAATGACTTCCTAACATTTTTAGGCCATGTTTACCACGAGCAAAATGGCGGGTGTTCACATTATTTAAACATGGTATAGGTGGCCAGGGCTAGATATGCCAGAAAAGCATTTTAAAATTTGCTTTGGAGAATGAAGGCTAAATTTTAAAGCCAGTGTCATAAACATTAATAGAACTTTTTTTTTTTTTACGTTTTCAATTATTTTTTCTTAAGCCCTATATGTGAATGATAAGGTTGACTATCAGGACCTCGCGGGGCACAGGGCACGTGAAGTAGGGTTCATCTGTTTCTTTGTCCTAAGCAAATGAAGGGATAGTGTGGTCAGAGACATGCTTGGCTGGAATCGTTTTTGTTGTCTGAGACTTGGCGGGACACTGGGCAGGTGAAGTAGAGTTGAGTAGGTCACCTGTGACGTCAATATATGAAGGGATAGTCCGAAATCGTTGTTTTCGGTGTTTTTAAAAGATAAAAAACATATTTTTGAATGTGGGTTCTGTTTTTTGTGACGATAAGTGACACTGCAGTAGCGTAGCGAGGAGGGGGGGGGGCGGGAGGGAAGGGGAGGCGGGGGGAGGTGGAGGGGGGGGGGGGTGGGGGGGGACATGTTGGGGCGCCAAAATAATTTGGAAAAATAAATTGAAAGGTTGAGGGGGGTTCAAATGGAAATTTTGAGTGGGGGGGGGGGTGCACATCAAAAGTTTGAAGGGGGTGGGGGGGGGTTGAAAATCGAAATCTTGGGGGGGGGGGTTCAAATCGAAAAGTTTGTCCCCGGGCGCCGGGAAGGGTCGCTATGCCTCTGAGTGACAGACGTGATGTTTTTTGATGGATGACCCCCGAAACCCACAGTTATCCAACGGATGACGGGTATTCTAGTCTATATACTACTAAAAGTCAAGTTTGTTTACATGTTTGAATATTTATTTGTTTGTTTGCCTGATTGACTATTGTGATATGTTCCACTCTATCTGGAAAGCTGTAAAATAGTATGCAGGTAGAGAATAATTTTTTAATGCAGACAAACTGTTGATCACAAATTTATTTAAAGACGTTAATTAATTTATTGATTTATTCATAGTTAAATTAACCGTATTTTTTTAAAAATGTTAATACTTTGAATAAACTTTGTGGGGATAGTGACGTCCCTTGATAGTGACGTCAGAGTTTTTTGTTGACTCTTTAGTACAATAAAATGGCGGCGCGTCTATCGAAGAAAATTGTGTTCCCATTCCAAAGTTTAACGCGTTCTAAATCTAATTTTCTGTCGGTCATAACTTTAACAATACGTCCGTTTGCTGTATTTATTACGTTCCAACACTTATATCAATTTTCAACTGTCTTTTTCATTTAGTTTTACGATAAATTTCTCTAGATCTAAAGATCAGCTGTCGAGAATCTAGCCTAGGGCCTAGAATCTAGAATCTAGATCTAGGTCACTAGAGTCATAGATCTAGACTTAATGTAAATTCTACATCTAGAATCTATTTCGGGCCTTAATTATTTTATATAAATCTTTGTTTAGCTTCAATGATCATCTAATTCGAGAATACATGGGATTTTTTTGTTATCTAGGTTTTATATCTAGATATAGTAGGATTACTCACTAACTTGGAGGCGTGGTCGGCTGCTAACAACAATATGGCGTACGGACCGGACGAATGACTTCCTAACATTTTTAGGCCATGTTTACCACGAGCAAAATGGCGGGTGTTCACATTATTTAAACATGGTATAGGTGGCCAGGGCTAGATATGCCAGAAAAGCATTTTAAAATTTGCTTTGGAGAATGAAGGCTAAATTTTAAAGCCAGTGTCATAAACATTAATAGAACTTTTTTTTTTTTTACGTTTTCAATTATTTTTTCTTAAGCCCTATATGTGAATGATAAGGTTGACTATCAGGACCTCGCGGGGCACAGGGCACGTGAAGTAGGGTTCATCTGTTTCTTTGTCCTAAGCAAATGAAGGGATAGTGTGGTCAGAGACATGCTTGGCTGGAATCGTTTTTGTTGTCTGAGACTTGGCGGGACACTGGGCAGGTGAAGTAGAGTTGAGTAGGTCACCTGTGACGTCAATATATGAAGGGATAGTCCGAAATCGTTGTTTTCGGTGTTTTTAAAAGATAAAAAACATATTTTTGAATGTGGGTTCTGTTTTTTGTGACGATAAGTGACACTGCAGTAGCGTAGCGAGGAGGGGGGGGGGGGCGGGAGGGAAGGGGAGGCGGGGGGAGGTGGAGGGGGGGGGGGGTGGGGGGGGACATGTTGGGGCGCCAAAATAATTTGGAAAAATAAATTGAAAGGTTGAGGGGGGTTCAAATGGAAATTTTGAGTGGGGGGGGGGGGGGGGTGCACATCAAAAGTTTGAAGGGGGTGGGGGGGGGGGGGTTGAAAATCGAAATCTTGGGGGGGGGGGGGTTCAAATCGAAAAGTTTGTCCCCGGGCGCCGGGAAGGGTCGCTATGCCTCTGAGTGACAGACGTGATGTTTTTTGATGGATGACCCCCGAAACCCACAGTTATCCAACGGATGACGGGTATTCTAGTATATATATATATATATATATATATATATATATATATATATATATATATATATATAAAAAAATTGCAAGGAATTTTTTTTGCCAGTTCAATGAATGGCTAATTAGAGCTAAAAAGAATTTTTAAGTGCATAATAACGATCCTGAGAAGAAAAGGGTGGTGGTGACACCTTGACATAAAACTTCAAACTATAGAGAAAACAATGCTATACCCAGCTGTATTAACAACCGACTATAGATAACCATCATTAGTATTAAATGTGAACACTTTAAAGTTTTTAACGCGAGGGAGGGTGTGACACCAACTACAAACTTTACAGAGCAAAAAAAGGGAGGGTGACACCATGAGGTGTGCATCGTGTTACACCCGACCTAGCGCTGGATAATTACGGTTAGGGCGTTAGTATGGGCGTAGAGGTGGCATGGAGGGGAAGTTTTGCTATCTGTTAACCAAGGATAATATTATGTGAGTTACGCCTAATATAATCAGTTGGATAGAGTGAGGGAGGGGAACCCTTGCAATGTGTCACGAATGTTAGTTACGCCTAATATAATCAGTTGGATTGAGTGAGGGAGGGGAACCATTGAATGCTGAATTTTTAGGGTGGGATAAAACACGAACAATATTTTCTTTCATTCATTTTTTTTCACGGTTTATAATGCTGCACCCGCCCCACCCAAAATTTCTAAAGAAATTTCTGTTTGAAGCGCGACATGAACGAGGTAGTTATTGGAGCGGATAATGCAAGTTTCTTAGAATGGGGTGGGGGGTGGGGGGGGGGGCTTCTACCATCTGACCTGCACTAGATTTTAAAATGTTTTTACCACTACAGGTAAAAAAGTCTTAACAATTGTTTATTTTGTTCTCTCCTATAGTAACTTATTCTAAATGAAATCAACACAATATAGGACTAAAATATTTGCTTTAATACCCGATAAATAGCACACAATCTCTAAAAAAAAAGGTATCTGTCCTTTCTTCACGGTAGTGAAAACCAGCCGTCCGTGACAAATAGTTTACGTTTTAAACAGGTATAATCGATTAATCACTTCCCCTCCCCTTTTTTCAAAAACTAAATTTAAAAAATTTAAATTAGATTTTAATGACATGTAATATTAAAAAAAAAATTGATATTCTTGCGTTGTCGTCGGTGACAAACGTGCCTGGAAAAAGATGATCGCTTTATTAAAAGTTTGTGTCTAAATTGAGTTACAAAAGTTGCTATTAACTCACCAAACACATTGTGAACTACATAAAAGCTTATAATAAAATAAATGAAAAAATCCTTTATAAGCATAATAAGCTATAAATTACGATGAAAA